AAGTTCCTTGTCGAATGGGGAGAGGTTCTAGGGCCATATTCTGGTCACTGTCTCTGGTCTCTCGTAAGCCGGTCGCTGATTAGCTAATCCAAATGATTAGCCAATCAGCGACTGGCTTGCGAGAGACGAGAGATCAGAGACAGTGACCAGAATACGGCCCCAGGAGTTTACCAACACTCATTAACCAACAGAGCTGAGGCCAACAGGATCAATGTCTCTACAATGACACTCTTGCCCGTCATTTCCAACAAGTGTTGAAGAAAGAGAAACAGACCACCTTGGACATGTTTTTCAAGAAGCCAGCAGAGAAAAAGCAAAGTATGGAACAAGAGGAGTTGACCCCGCAAGCTCCGGTAGCCTCTCCTGAATCTGAATCCAATTAAAAAACAATAAAAAAATGACCTGCTGCAATGTGTAAAAAGTCTAACTGTATGAATGTGTGAAGAAAGTGTTCCTCCACTTCCTCCTCACAACATCTGACTACCCGGCATAATTGGTGACTGCTCCATTTTCATTTTTTTATGGTACAGTACGGGTTATTTTATGCTGCGGAACAAATTATATGTTTTAACATGTATTTCTATGGGAAAATGCGTTTCGTATAACGGACTATTCACTTAACGGACGTGCACCTGGAATGGATTAAGGGATTAAGTACGTTATACGAGGCACCACTGTATTTATCATTGAAATCAATGTATTTGTTTATTCTTGAAACCAGTCCAAAAAGTGACCTTACAAATCCATCTTTGAAAACTTGAATAACTCTGCTGTCACTATCTTTACCAGTTCCTCCTTTGAATCAAACTTCCTTCACTTCAAATTTCTCTTCATCCGTGGAAAGAGGAACATGTTACAAGGTGCCAAGTCTGGCGAATAAGCAGTTTGTGGAAGCTGGACTAGTTGCTGGACTCCAAAAACAATTGGATCACTTTGGCTTAGTATCCAGTAGCATTATCATGATGGATCATGATGCATAACTTGGATCTTGGACATTCTTCTTTGAGTGACTGAAGCACTTTTCACAAGCAAACAGAAGAGTACCATTCCCTGATTACTATAGCACCTTGTTCCAGAATAACAGGTGAAAGGATGCTGCAATGGCAAAAAAAAAATAATGCAAACAACTTTACCAATGCTGTGCTCTTGAAGAAACTTTATTGTGACTTTCTTGCTTTCAGTTACCCACTGCTTGCTTTGGGTTTTAGTTTCAGGGTTATAATAGTAAATCTAGGTTTCATCATCTGTCAGTATGTTGGTGACTGTTTGACATTCCACCATTAAATTTCTCTCGCATAAACTTTCAAAAATTCACACGTGGTTCAGCTGCAAATGATGAGATACCCAACATAACACACCTTCCTCCTAATTTAGATGTTTTTGCAAGATAGTAATGACTGACCCATACGAGATGTTTAATTGCCTTCTAGCTCTCTGGTCCATATTTGTCAATCTTCACTAAGCAGGGCTTTCACAGCATCAATCTTCTCTGTAATTACCACAGCTCCTTGGATGCCCTTCACATTCATCATAATCATCAAGGTTGAAGCACTCTGGTTGGAAGCACTGATACCACTTGATTGACAACCTGTATTGTTAAGGTTACAACAAAGAAGGGAGTAAATTCACACAAATTCATACAGGGCCTGTACAGATTTGGAAAGTCAAGGAATAAGATTTTTAGCAGAAAAAGTTATGGAAAGTCAGGGAATCTGCAAATACCATGGAATCCGTCTGTCACTCTCACTCCTTTTTGATCTGAACACATCTTTAAATTTGGTTTGGTTTAGGGAGATTTATGAAAACTAAAGCAACCAAACAAATGGCAATATTTGTTGTGCTTATATCTTGCAAACTATAAATGATAATCTAACAATTTAAATTTTGTTGGATAGAAGGTTTAGGTCTGTATTTAAAATAGTAGGTAGTGGGGGTTTGCAGCCATGCAGGGGGGGTAGCAATTGTGCATGAACACTGAAAATGGCAATGCAGTGCAACATTTGGGCAGAAACTTTGAAACTTTGGATGGCGAAGAGGTAGGACATCAAAATTTCTGTCAATTTGTACAGAATGACAGGATCTACAATATTATTTAGCAATAAAAACTGATAAAATAGAATTTGTAAAGTTATAAACTGATAAGTGTGTGGGTCAAAGAAAATTTTCATAATGTCGAAGAAAGTGCAAAGGAAATTACAAACAGAAATGTAAGAGATGTATATTATCGAAAAGAAAAATTTAAAAGGAATCAGAAAAGCCCAAAATAACTAATGTTGAATGATGCAAATTATATAGATACAGTAGAACCTCTCTAATCTGTTACCTTTGGGACTGGGGGTATGGTCATAACGCCAAAAAAAATTGGATTATCAGAAAAAAATAAAATAAACTATCTTTCAACTCAAGAATGACTGTATTGTTCTCTACAGTAAAAACATTGCAATAAATCACACAAAAACTGTTATTATTAATGAAAAAGAGCAATACTGTATGTATTTACTACATACTGTACATACTGTAAAAATTGAAGGTAGCCTATAGTAAAAAATTACTTAGAAAAAAAGTCAGTTATAGATTTTTGTTTAGCATATGAAATTCTAGACTTAGCTGCAGTGTTCCTCCATTTCTTGATCCACAAAATGTCCGTAGGTGTTAGGTTGAGTTCTGCTCAATGTACTGAAAGGCAATATCAAAAGCGTTCTTGGCATCAGAGTGTGAAATCTGGGTAGGGGGTTCATCATCATCACTGTCTGAGTCCTTGTTCACAGTTTCTTCACTATTATTTTCCAAAACAATGGCAATAATCTGGTTGTCATTGAGCTCTTCACTGGTTTCACAGTCTTTGTCACATTGGGCAATCCACTCCTCAACTTCACTGGCAAGGACATTCACTTGTACAGTTTGTAGATCTTTAACAATTTCCTGCGTGTCATTATTTTGCTTGTCTTCGATCTGATCACTTTCGGTCATAACTTCTGGCCAAAGCTTACGCCAAGATTTTCATAGCATGTCAGGTTTCAGTTCCTCCCATGACTCAGCAATCGTATAGATAGCATCTTTGATGTTGAGCGATTTCATAGCTTCAAATATGTTATAACTGTCTTCGGACTTTTCTAAAATTGAGCTAATGTACTTTCTGCGATAGTGCCTCTTTAACCATTCTATCACTCCCTGATCCATTGGTTGAATAAATGATGTGACATGTGGTGGAAGGAAGATAGCTTTTATGATGTCACCTTTTACTAAATCTTTCTCAGATGAACATGATGGTGCATTATCCGACAGCAATAGAGCACGAATGGGAAGCTTTTTTTGTTTCATGTCTTTTTCAATAGATGGAACGAACTCGTCAAAAAACCAAGATTTGAAAGGATGGCAGTCCATCCAAGCAGATTTTTGATTGCGGTAATAAACCAGCAAGGAAGATAAGTTTATGTTTTTGAATGTCCTAGGCTTCTTAGATTTGCCAATAACGAACAGGAGAAGCTTGTGTGTATCATCAGGTTTGCATCAAGGAGCAATGGTTAGCCTATCTTTTATAAGTTTCATTTCTGCAACGGTTTCATTTGATGCAGCGAGTGTTCTGTTTGGCAGCATTTTATAGTTTAGGCTCGTCTATGTTATAGACTTGGCAAGGTAACAGTTCATTTTCTTTGACAATTTCTTGAAACTTCACAGAAAACTCCTTAGCTGCCTTGGCATCAGCAGATAGTTTTTCACCAGAAATTGAAACAAACTGAATGCCATGATGGTTTTCCAGAGATCAATCCAGCCTTCACTAGCTGAGAACTCACTTCCAACTTCTACTTTTTTGTGCAAAGCTATTACCTTTTCTTTTATAATGGGCCCAGATATCAGGGTTTCCTTCCTTCTTTCTTGGCAGAACCACACCCACAATGTGTTGTCAAGCAGTTCAAGTTTAGGCTTTCTCAACATTTTCCAATTTTTAAGAGTATTTTCGCTATCTATCATCACTGTGTATGATTCAATGTCTTTTTGATTTTTTCTCCAATCATTTATTGTCATAATGCCTACATTGAGTTTCTTGGCAATTTTTTGGAGTGATTCCCCTTTGTCCAGTCTTTGTAGCACTGCTAATTTTTCATTTAATGAAGGAGTAATGTGTTTACATTTCACTCCTGACATGTTGAAAAAACACACAAAACTATACATGTACACACAATGTAAAACATATAGTGTAATGAACACAGAAGAATGTGATGGACAGTGAGTCACCGGGACAAATTTCTTGACTCTGATCATGGTCAGATTAACCGGAGCAATGGACTAGAGGGGTTATACTGTATATATAATGACCTTGAATGGGTTCATACTGGACCAAAAATAGCATGCAATTTCTTCTGTTTAAATTATTTTGAATTTACTGCCATTTTGATTGAAAAATTTGAAAATTTGATTTTATGACACGAGTCTTTTTCTTATTTAAATAAAAGTTATGAATTAATTTAAATTAAATCATGAATTTTTTTAATATTCTGTAGAAATGACATTGCTAGTTACATAATTGATTTTACACAAAGTTTTTTGTAAGTGAATAAAGTATTTTTTTTAATAAAAAATGTATATAATTGTGTACAAAATGGGCTTAAATAGACTTGGCCTAATATTACACAATGAAAAGGAGAAATGCAGAGATGTTAATAAGTCAGGGAATAATGTTATAATTGGTCATGGAAAGTCGGGGAATGTCAGTGAATCACAGATGTAATTATCTATATGGACCCTGTTCATATTAAAAAAAAGTTTATTGTAACTGTAATTGTTAAATAGATTAAGGTTACAATAAAGATTTTTTAATATGAATTTGTGTGGGTTCACTCCCTTATGATATAATGAGTCCTAGTTAAAAAGAAAGTCCAAATAGACAAGTTATACTAAACATATGAAATAAAGAACTAGAAGCATATATCTATCTTAATATTCATCTTTACTCATTGTAATATTTTAAGTAATTTAAATGTTTTGTGTAAACTTTATAGATATGGAAAAAACTTATAAAGAATATAAAGAATGGATTGATGGTGAAATTCCTCCATCAGTTGAACAATCATATAACAAAGCAAAGAAAAAATTATTCAGATTACAAGAGTTTGAAGATAGCTTAGTAAGAAATATATTTTAAAATTCATGTTATAAAATAATAATATTAATTAATTTTGTAATATAATTGTAAAAATATTTTTAAATTACTTATTTATTTAAAATAAAATTGTATAATAATTATTTAATAAAACATTTATCTTACAGATATCTTCGGAATCTCCTCACTTACAAGAATATTATAATTATATAGAATTTGAAGAAAAAGAAAAGGATCCTGCACGTGTACAATGTATATATGAACGGGCTATCACCGATAATTGTCTAGTTCCTGATTTATGGCAGAAATATACTAAATATTTAGTAGGTTAATAATAAATTTTTATATGTTATTTTAATAAAGTTTTTAAAGTTAGTTAATATTAAACTAGATTGTCATATATGCTATATTTCTATTACTTTGTACATATCAGCAATTACAGTAGACCCTGCTTTTTGTAATCATGGATATTATTATCAGTCCAAAAACATTTAAGTTAAAATACGCTTTAAAATTTCACTTAACAATAAACTAAATTTCCATTACATTATCCTTGGGTAAATACAAAATTTTAAGCTGTTTTTTTTAATCTATCAGTCTTAGCCAGTTCTTTAGTTAAACATTAATTATTATTACAGTTTTTTAGTTAAACATTATAATTAATTATTATAGTTAAACATTAGTTAATTAATTATTAATTTATTAATATGTAAATTTTCGACTATAAATTCGACTATCTTCTATTATCAGGACTTATTATACTGGTTTTACAGATAATATTACAAAGATTAACAGAAAACAATTTTTATTTTATTTCGTATACCTGGACACATACACAATTTTGCGTTTCGGACATATTCGTCCCTCCTCAGCAGGTATTTAT